CATTAGTAATTCTTCACCGGCCGACGACACGGTCAGTGGTGTACTTAAGGTCTTCGACTTCTGTGAATGTCGTCGTGGGTCTTGGACAACTCCCTTAGGGTGATTATCCCTAGCCAGTATGAATACTTGGAAGTGATACGTGGATAAATTGTTGGGATATCAGGACATACTTAAGGAAGAGTCTCCAAGCACTCTGGAACCTCGGGGTTCGAACACCGACCATGCTAGAAGCGTGACCGTCGTTCTAACGACCAGTCCAAGTGGATGGATTCCTCGCAGGTCTTTGTCGACCCACAATGACATAGCTCCTGGGCCCCAGACTTTCCGTACTGCCCTTATGGAAGACGAAGTTGGATAGGCCGGGCCGGATACCGCTCGCCTCTTTCCGCTAATCTCTCTCTCTCAAAGACCTCTTTCCCTCGAGGTCTTTGGCATTATAGAAAATATTATACTCTTCGTAAAGACAGAAAAAAAGGAGAAAGAGGGAAGTGAGTGGAGATAAGGAAAAGGAGAGGAGAGAGTAGAGAGAATTTATAGATGAGGAGAGTGAGAGAAAGTGAGAGAGAAAGAGAGACAGCTTCAAACGAGACTGTTTAATGGCTTCCAAGACTATGTTTAACGGATATCAATCCTACTTATTATATTTAGTTTCCAATCCAGTCCTTTCATACCCTTTATTGACTTTGCACCTCAAGCCATCGTGTGGAAATATATTTAAGTGCTCTCTAACTCTATTTGGCAAAAGGTGAAAAATAATTACTTGTAAACAAAAAATTTGTCATACATTTCAATTGCATCTATTTCCTCAAGTTTTATAACGCTGTTTACTGTTATTGACTCAACCAGCATTTTGAGATATTTCCTCTTGACTGTGAAGTTCTTAAGGGATTCAATTAGGTCCAAATACTACGGGCTCACCATAGCCCGTGCTACTTGGAACTTTTTGTTCCAGGTAGCGAATCTTTAACAACATAGGTCTTAATAAGTGTATCTCCTGCTATTTTCCATCTAGTTTTGTCGTTCTTTTCTGCATTCTCGAGTCTGGACTAATTTACATTTGTTATTTGATTTTGAAAATTGGAAAGAGAAAAAAATGATAAGAGAGAAAAAGATAGAAGTGTGTGAAAAAAGATCAATGAAGAGATTGAACTTGTTGCATTCACAAGTTGTTTACTTCATTTGTAAAGTATTTAACAACTTTAACAACTTTAACACAACAGCCACGTGCTATTGAAAAGGGAATTATAACTGAATTGTCTTAACATTAGAGAAATACATCTTTGTTCCTCAATGTTATTTAATTTGATTACGCAGCAATCTAAGTTCTACATTATCTTTGTGTCTGAAGTGAGAGAAAAAGTGGAGGAGCAGAGATGAAGGAGGCTTTGATGAGGTATGAGTCATTAAATCATCATTATCATTAAAGAGACCAACACAAAGGCTTTGATCTTTTGAGAAAGCTCAAAGCTTTTGGCAAGTGTTCATTCTATAATTCCTATTTAAGTGTTCTCTAGAAAAGCCAAGTGTTAATTCATTCTATAATTCCTATTTAAGTGCGCTCTAGAAAAGCTAAGTGTTCATTCATTCTATAATTCCTATTTAAGTGTTCACTAGAAAAGCCAAGTGTTCATTCATTCTATAATTCCTATTTAAGTGCGCTCTAGAAAAGCCAAGTGTTCATTCATTCTATAATTCCTATTTAAGTGCGCTCCTATAGAAGTAAAGTGTCCTGCTCCTTATAACTTTTTCTATAAATCTCTCATAAAGTTGTCGATGACATTGTCGGAAAAGATAAAAGTTATTTTATCTTTTATTTTATCTTTTTTTAAGGCCAACAGAAACACAATTTTCGTAGAAAACAATTTAATTACAATAAATATACATTCATATTGGCGAACTTCCGTGGACTTAAAATTTCTGGCTATCACAGGAACCACAAGTAGATTCGTTTTGGGATGCTCTCGACGGATCCAGGGATTCCTTAACTAATTACACACAGAGATCACAAGGGACCCGTGAAGAAGATTCGAAATTACGTCCGAGAGGATCCCAGACGCTGCCTTAATCTTAAGTCTGTGAACCTTACGGACGTAAGTTCGAATCTCTTCGTCACGGCTCTTGTGGATGTGTTCATCTCTTAATAACATGTCATCAATAACAAGACACTTAAGAATTAACAAATATTGCTAAATATATAACAAAAAAAATACTAGATTCCTGTAGTTTTGCAAGAAATTAAAATTTCAGTTTTTGCGCAAGAGAATTCAGTTTTGTGAGACCCGATTTTTATGGGGTTCTTGCCCCCCCCCTCTATAATTGGGGGCAAAGTGGGGGGTTTGGATCCGTCAAGAGCCCCCCTGGTATCACCGCCACATAGCCCACCCTCCGCCTGCCCCCCCCCCCCCACACCTCTCTTGCTGCCCCTCTAAGGTATATAGAGTCGTCTTGGCTACCATCTGGGCGCTGCCAAGACTCTGAACCGCAACAATTGTGCAAAAAAATGCCTCTTACTGGACCCCCCCCCCCACACAGTTCTTTTTTTTTGTACACATAAAATATTTGTATATCAAATATAATTTTTTTTCAGTTACTACACAATATCACATATATATAACGCTGCACAAACATGTTTTTCCTAATGCTGCTATATTGATTAGTCTTCCTAATAGTGAACTCTCGAACGCTGGTGTAAAGCAGGGGCCAGATTCACGAAGCAGTTACGCAAGCACTTACGAACCTGTCCATCTTTTCTCAATCTTTGGCGGCTTTGTTTACAATTATTAAACAGCTAATGAGCTCCGAAGCACCAGGAGGCTGTTTATAACAATAACAACAGTTGAATGGCAAGTTTTCATGCTTGTAAACTGTTTAATAAAGGTAACCCAAGCCGTCAAAGATTGAGGAAAGATGTACACGTTCGTAAGTGTTTTCGTGAATCTGTCCCCAGGTGAGCAGCGAAGAGCAGCCTCGGTGTAGTGGAGGACAATGACGTACGACTCTGATGCGTTCTGACGCAGAGACGCATCACCCTCTGTACCCCCCCCCCTACCCCCCCTAGGTGACGAGCACTACAGCGCAAGATGCAGTATTTACAAACGTAGTGTCTTAGCAGGATGCCCAAACGACCTCGTTACAAGGGGCTGGGAGGAGAGGCCAATTAAAAAAAAAATTTAAACAAGTCAACTATCATCGTTGAGAACAAGAGGGTTAAATTGCACCAAAAATAATCTTTGAGGCCAAATTCACAAAGCAGTTACGCAAGTACTTACGAACATGTACATCTTTCCTCAATCTTTTGACGGCTTTGGTTACATTTATTAAACAGTTTACAAGCGTGAAAACTTGCCAATCAACTGTTGTTATTGTTATAAACAGCCTCCTGGTGCTTCGGAGCTCATTAGTTGGTAAATAATTGTAAACAAAGCCGCTAAAGATTGAGAAAAGATATTCAGGTTCGTAAGTGTTTGCGTAACTTCTTCGTGAATCTAGCCCCCTGGCATCTCAGCTTGTGGAGGACTTATTAATACTCACAACTTTCAAGGAGTCTCCACTGTGCTCATTGAGTGCTGCTGGGGGATAATCTAGCCCAAGGATCTCCTTACAAGAACGCAAGAGGCTCTCATTAAGCACTTTGCTCTGCAGGGAAAGAGGGAGGATAGGTACAGCACCCCCACACCCCTGAAGTACCTAAGTAGAGGTCACTAACGCAAGGTAACGAGATGCCCTCAATATATTCTCACTGGTAATGGGTCCTATACCAACCCTGGTTCACAAGTGACCTGGCTCCTATACCAACCCTGGTACACAGTGACCTGGCTCCTATATCAACCCTGATTCACAAGTGACCTGGCTCCTATACCAACCCTGGTTCACAAGTGACCTGGCTCCTATACCAACCCTGGTACACAGTGACCTGGTTCCTATATCAACCCTGGTACACAGTGACCTGGCTCCTATATCAACCCTGGTTCACAAGTGACCCGGCTCCTATACCAACCCTGGTACAAAAGTGACCTGGCTCCTATACCAACCCTGGTTCACAAGTGACCTGGCTCCTATACCAACCCTGGTACACAGTGACCTGGCTCCTATACCAACCCTGGTACAAAAGTGACCTGGCTCCTATACCAACCCTGGTACACAGTGACCCGGCTCCTATATCAACCCTGGTTCACAAGTGACCCGGCTCCTATACCAACCCTGGTACAAAAGTGACCTGGCTCCTATACCAACCCTGGTACAAAAGTGACCTGGCTCCTATACCAACCCTGGTTCACAAGTGACCTGGCTCCTATACCAACCCTGATTCACAGTGACCTGGCTCCTATACCAACCCTGGTACACAGTGACCCGGCTCCTGTACCCACCTCACAGTAACTCAATGTACACAGTTGGAGTTACTTCCTAAATATTGAAGAAACAAATCATCATAACATTCCAGGAACAACAATAAACAGAACTATTCCAAGCGCTATGTGTCCTAGAAGCGACCAAAAGCTTGGAGAAAGAAATCGCTGCACTTCTTAACAAGAAAGTCGAAACATTGAAGAACTGGGCATAAAATTCCTATGAATACCATTCGTCCGGTTTACACAACAAAAGTGAAATCTATTTATGAGCTGAGAAATGGTTGGAATATAAAAGGAGCGGTTTACAAGCACCTTGGGATATTTTTTTTAGCACCGGCTCTGAATATCTACATCATTCTTAAGTGTTTTTGATCGTCTTTTCTCTTTGTTTCAAGAATGTTAATGTGCTCACAAACATCACATATTTCACGTGTAAAGTAAGAGCCACTTAGGTCATCACTGATCCCGACCACTCCTTGGGGAAACTGGGGAATAACATCTGTACTGATTTCTTCCTATTGGGGAGTGTTGTACATTCTGCTATGGCGGTATGTTCACTCACAAGATGAGTGGCGCTGCCCAATAAACTCGCCCCTCGGGGCAAAATTTAAAAATTTAAATCTGTACTGAATTAGATTTTTTTCAAAGATATTTAATTTCCATTTCACCTGTGCAAAGCACCGAGAGGAAAGAAGGCTTGCCGGGAAGGATTCAATGGAAGGGATGTGAAGGATGCTACGGGAGAGGATGAGGATGCTGTAGAGATGGAGGACCCACGCCCCCCACACCTCCTCCCCACCATCCTGAGGAGAAACACCTGTCTCATCCTGGGTGGTGTTTAATGGAGGGAGGGGGAAGGAAGGGGTTACCCACATCTGCCAAAGGCGCTTCCATACCCTTCTCCCCCACCCCCACCCCACTCCACAGCCTCCCCACAGCCTCCCTTCATCTCACAGCGCCGCACTGAACCTCTAGCATCCTGCGGTGACATCACGCTGTGATAGCATCTCCATGGCTGGGAGATGAACTCTCTGGATACGGGAGTGGATGTTTCTTTACGGAGTGATGTCAGGCCTGACATCTGACGCCACTCTTGGGGGTGACGTCTCTTCTTCCCCTGATGTAATTGTGCGAATTTACTTGCGGTTTGTTGTGTGAAGGAAACTGTTTTTGTTTCAGTGGCATTTGTGTGTTGCTTTCGAGAACTGTGGTATGTACCGTGTACCGTGTGGCATGTACCGTGTGTACCGTGCACTGTGTACCATGAACTGTTTTAAAGCTCCGTGACTTTAATAAGAATTTCATGTATGTAGAATATTTATGTTATATGGGAAAATTTGGCCTTAAAAGTGTTGCGTCTTGCGTCTGCTTTTTGCGTGTGCTTTTTGCGTCTTGCGTCTGCTTCTTGCGTGATGCCACAGCCTGTTGGGGGAAATAATAAAGAGTGTCAGTACCTTGTTGGCCTCTCACACACTTTTCATAATGCTTCAGTTATATTAATAATAATAATGATAAGTTATTAACGAAAGCTGTCGAAACTTTGCCAAACCTGACAATGAGTTTTATTTGTGTATGTAAAGTTATTTAGTGAAGTAAAGTGACTTTATAACAACGTGAGTCCAGCAAACTAGCAAAATCAGGTTGAAATTTAGAATATACATTTAACATTATAAATATTTAAATTAAAAAAAAAGGTTAGGGATGGTGGTATAAATAAAATACTTTATAAGTGTTCAGGGAGAATTGGCAAGGTATTCTCTGAATACCTTCTATTCTCTTCTCCAAGGCTTTGGGTCCCCATTATTGCACCGGAGGTGGTACCCATATATTTAGACATATATAATATTGCGAAGAGCAAGATAAAAGGAAGCATATATATATATTTATATATTCCAAAGTGCTTCGAGTACAATTTGTGATGGTTTGAATTAAAGAACACTAAAGTGACATCAAATCTAAATCCAATATATATATATATATATATATATATATATATATATATATAAGAATTAAGAATTAATATAAGAATTAAGGTAACTGCAGAAGGCCTATTGGCCTATACGAGGCAGCTTCTATTTATATGCACCCAATCTCATTCATATATGTCATAATATAGGAATAAACTCAATTCCTATACAATGGGTAATATCGTTAACTCACCTGGCAGGTGAATTCGAAGACGGTTGAGGCAAGTGAAGAATCAAAGTAGATAATGCATCCTAGAGATCAATAGATAACTTCTCTTGCTGCAGATGATTGACATCACTGGGAACAGGATCTCGCGAAATCTTGTACTGTTTTGACTGTTCATAGATTAAATCACTTGGCAAACACTGGAATTTCTCAAGAGCCCCTGTCTCTCAATTTCAGCGTTTATTCTGGGCGGTATTAAAAGATAGGAACTATGTCATTAGAGTTCACTTAACGCTTATATGCACTTAACCAAAGTTCTGTGTAACGACACACACACGACTTGATTGGCGGGAACACTTATATGAGAGTTTCTAGCGGTAAACTGAGGTCTGGATCCTCCACGACAAGTCTCACAGGAGCCTCCAGTTCGCTATACGACTGTCTTGGCACGGCCAAGTCGTGATCACTCGTCGTGGTGGGTGTCGTCCTCTATCCCCGCCGGCAAGCGAGGTCGTGCGTCAGGTGCTGGACGACCACAAGGCTAAGTGCAGAACATCAGGTGACTCTCCGAACTATCCCCCTCTTGGGGGGGACTTCACGCCGCTAGGGTTATGCTGCTCGTTTCGAACTCGAGGAGGTCCATCTCACGGTCGTGGACATCGATGTTGAGGACCTCCTGTAGCTCACTGATGTACTGGATAACACTTTCGATCACTTCCAAGCGGTTGAGTTTCTTGTCAAGTGATTTTCTGCTCCTGGCGGTGGGCAACAGGTGTCGCAGCTTGTCCAGGTAGAGGGCCACTTCGAAGTCTTCCTCGCGGCCCTTTGACACCTTCCCGCTCCTGATGGCAGGCAGGCTGTTGATTGGAGAGTCACAGACTTGAGCCTTCATGCTGGAGTAGAGTTGTGTAGACTCTGGTTTACTCTGCACAGTCACTGGATAGGTCTTCCTTCTACCGCACTCTGGGAAGCAATGGTAAGCTGAAATCACAGTGCACGGGTTTGTACTTCTTCCCGCTGACGCCGTCCAAGGATATGTGGCAGCCAATGAGAACTAGAGCTCTAAAAGCCATAGCCAATGAGAAACTGGAGAGGACTGGCGCGAACCAATGAGAGAGAGCGGTGGGTGGAGTTTGGCAGCCGAGCGCTGCGGCGACTCAGGAATGCTTAACTAGCCACCACTGTAGCCACAATGTTGTTGTAATTATTTTATACACAAATCACCGCATTAAACATCAAGTTTCAGACTCGCCATCACGTTAGAGAAATATATTTCATTTAACCAGTAAACAAAAGCCTCGACGAAGTTCGATAGAAGCAATATAAATAACTGAGAATTAAATATCACCCGTTAATATCTGAGCTCAAACACGCGCAGACCCACGTAACCGGTGCCAGGCGTAGGAGCAAAGAAAATCACCGGGAACTTATTTTGAAATTCCTTTTCAGTCTCGGGATATAATAATTGTTAATGCATGAAACAATTGACTAAAATCCATAGCACAATAGGAGGGCTGATGGAGGTAATGTGAGGCGCCCTGGACACCGACTGGAGAAGGGACAAGAGATTAGTGTTTACCTAATACGGGAATACCACAGGGACATGACCTGGGGCCTTCGCTGGTGCTCAGGTGTACGGGTAACTTACTGCCATGGGGCCGATGCTGAACGCCCATGCCCGCCCACACCTGCCCCACACGCCCACACCCACCCCCACGCCCACACCTGCCCCCCACGCCCACACCAGACCTCACCTGTCCGGCATAACTCATTCTGCCTTCGGCTAGTGGTCAGGTGCTCTCATCAGGTGTTCCTCTCGCTTGGCTGTACGCCTTCGTCACATGTTTGGTCCTTATCAGGTCCTCGGGTGGTGTTTTTTTGTAGGGAGGTGTTTGTTAAGTGTGCTGCTTGATCACTATCCATGATTATCTGACGTCTATTCTCATCAGGTGTTTGATTTCGACAGGTGTTGGCTGATATTTATATTGACAAAATGCCACAGATGCCAGTCCAAATAAATACAATTTGAAAATCTTGATTTTTGTCACATTTATGGCCAATATTTCGATGTTGAAATGTAATATCCCAAAAATTCTGAGTTTTTTCTTTATGATAAAAAGGTGTAAATGTACAGAAACTTGTATATAATACATAGACGCCAAAATATACATACTGAATACATTTCTCATTGTGGCCAAAAACGTTCCTAGAGTCAAAGAATCTAGAAATAACTAATGATTCAGGAGAGGATCTTTTCACCCTAATTATCAACGATGGTTTGCACTGCATGATGTCTATTTTCGAAAACCGGGCCACGGGGACATTGATCCCCGAAATCATCACACGTTAAGGTAGGCAGTTAAACGAGGTTTGTAAGTTACACCTAACGTTTCCCCTGATGTATATCTGAAGTATGCTACTATATACTTCAAGTTTACATGTAGTATACCTGAAGTATAATACCATAGATGAGTAGCAGCAGAACAAATGACCACCCCAGCCACGATGTGCAGAACGGGACGTGGGTATATTGGACTTGCCTGAGCCACAGGTGTTGTCGTGGGTATATTGGTCTTGTCTGAGTCACAGGTGTTGTCGTGGGTATATTGGTCTTATCTGAGTCACAGGTGTTGTCGTGGGTATATTGGTCTTGTCTGAGCCACAGGTGTTGTCGTGGGTATATTGGTCTTATCTGAGCCACAGGTGTTGTCGTGGGTATGTTGGTCTTGTCTGAGCCACAGGTGTTGTCGTGGGTATATTGGTCTTATCTGAGCCACAGGTGTTGTCGTGGGTATATTGGTCTTGTCTGAGCCACAGGTGTTGTCGTGGATATATTGGTCTTGTCTGAGCCACAAGTGTTGTCGTGGGTATATTGGACTTGTATGAGCCACAGGTGTTGTCGTGGGTATATTGGACTTGTATGAGCCACAGGTGTTGTCGTGGGTATATTGGTCTTGTCTGAGCCACAGGTGTTTAAATTTTTTTTAAATTTTGCCCCGAGGGGCGAGTTTATTGGGCAGCGCCACAGGTGTTGTCGTGGGTATATTAGACTTGTATGAGCCACAGGTGTTGTCGTGGGTATATTGGTCTTTTCTCAGCCACAGGTATTGTCATCGGTATATTGGTCTTATCTGAGCCACAGGTGTTTACCTGGTTGATACCTGGTTGATGGGGTTCTGGGAGTTCTTCTACTCCCCAAGCCCGGCTCGAGGCCAGGCTTGACTTGTGAGAGTTTGAGAGTTTGGTCCACCAGGCTGTTGCTTGGAGCGGCCCGCAGGCCCACATACCCACCACAGCCCGGTTGGTCCGGCACTCCTTGGAGGAATAAATCTAGTTTCCTCTTGAAAATGTCCACGGTTGTTCAGTTGTCGTGGGTATATTGGTCTTGTCTGAGCCACAGGTGTTGTCGTGGGTATATTGGTCTTTTCTGAGCCACAGGTGTTGTCTGAGCCACAGGTGTTGTGCCGGTTACAGGTGTTTTGCTAGCCATAGTAAACTAATATCGGGCTTGGGATACCAAGGCATCAGGTAATAGACCGTAGCGTCGAGCAGACATCAATAAAATACTGTGAAGCTAAAGAAATAAATAGCACGGGTGAGCTTCAGCTCTCTGGACAAAAAAAATTGTGGTCGGGGTTGGAGGCGGCGTGGTAGAGGGGGGGATGGGGGGGGTGGTGGTAGGTGAGGCTGGTAGGGGAGTGGGGTGGTGGTGGTGGTGGGGGTGTTGGTAGGGAGGGGGTCAGAGGTGGTTCTGGTGGAGTGGAGGCTAGTGTGTACAACAGGTGGTGACCGCTCAGCGCTCTGTGCAGTCTCTCCTATCTCTCTCGCTCTCTGTCGCTCTCTGTCGCGCTCTCTCTCTCTCTCTCTCTCTCTCTCTCTCTCTCTCTCTCTCTCTCTCTCTCTCTCTCTCTCTCTCTCTCTCTCTCTCTCTCTCTCTCTCTCTCTCTTTCTGTCTCTCTCTCGCTCTCTGTCTCTCTCTCGCTCTCTGTCTCTCTCTCGCTCTCTGTCGCTCTCTCGCTCTCTCTTTCTCTCTCTCTCTCTCTCTCTCTCTCTCTCTCTCTCTCTCTCTCTCTCTCTCTCTCTTTCTGTCTCTCTCTCGCTCTCGTCTCTCTCTCGCTCTCTGTCTCTCTCTCGCTCTCTGTCTCTCTCTCGCTCTCTGTCGCTCTCTCGCTCTCTCTCTCTCTCTCTCTCGCTCTCTCTCTCTCTCTCTCTCTCTCTCTCTCTCTCTCTCTCTCTCTCTCTCTCTCTCTCTCTCTCTCTCTCTCTCTCTCTCTCTCTCTCTCTTTCTGTCTCTCTCTCGCTCTCTGTCTCTCTCGCTCTCTGTCGCTCTCTCGCGCTCTCTCTCTCTCTCTCTCTTTCTGTCTCTCTCTCGCTCTGTCTCTCTCTCGCTCTCGCTCTCTCTCTCTGTCTCTGTCTCTCTCTCTCCTCACCTTCTCTCTCTCTCTCTCTCTCTCTCTCTCACTCTCTCTCCATGGCCTTAGTTCCCACCCTTAGACTTATTATTATTATTATTAGTATGGTTTGTAGATTACTATCCAATTCAGTTCGAAATTTTTTATTGGTTGCATTTGTGAGTCGAAGTTTGTATAGTAGATGGGTTTTACCTTGTGCTCTGGGTGGTTTTAAGTGCTTGTTCTGGACGTGTTGTGTATGCTGTCAAGGAGGCTGTTGTGGGTGTGGTAGGGCATGAAGTCGAGGCCATCTTCAGGCCTGCTGACATTTGTGTGATATTGTGGTCATTTTGGACCACATTTGTGATTTATTTTCACGTATATGTGCTACTGTTAACTACCATACGTGTAGTGTTAACTAGCCTAGGTGTGGTGTTAACTAGCCTACGTGTGGTGTTAACTAGCCTACGTGTGGTGTTAACTGGCATACATGCAGCGCTAACTACCATACATGCAGCGTTAACTACCATACATGCAGCGTTAACTAGCATACATGCAGCGCTAACTACCATACATGCAGCGCTAACTACCATACATGCAGCGCTAACTACCATACATGCAGCCTTAACTAGCATACATGTAGTGTTAACTAGCATACATGCATCGTTAACTAGCATACATGCAGCGCTAACTACCATACATGCAGCCTTAACTAGCATACATGCAGCCTTAACTAGCATACATGTAGTGTTAACTAGCATACATGCATCGTTAACTAGCATACATGCAGCCTTAACTAGCATACATGCAGCCTTAACTACCATACATGCAGTCTTAACTAGCATACATACAGCGCTAACTAGCATACATACACATTCTCGTGTGCCTAACAGAGGGTCAATGTGAGAATTGGTAGTTTGACCTTAAATTGCTTTTCCATCAAGACATTAAACAGCGCTCTTTTCCAGGGTCCTGCAGTGGGTAAAAGTATTGTATTGTATTGTATTGTATTGTATTGGGTCTTGTATTGTATTGGGTCTTGTATTGCTTCCCAATTTTGGGTACTGGGATTCCGCGTTGGAATCTCAGTTTGACTTTTTGTTCGCTTGGATCACACGTCAAGAGGGAAGGTGTGTGTGTGTGTGTGTGTGTGTGTGTGTGTGTGTGTGTGTGTGTGTGTGTGTGTGTGTGTGTGTGTGTACTCACCTAGTTGTGTTTGCGGGGGTTGAGCTCTGGCTCTTTGGTCCCGCCTCTCAACCGTCAATCAACAGGTGTATAGATTCCTGAGTGTGTGTGTGTGTGTGTGTATGTGTGTGTGTATGTGTGTGTGTGTGTGTGTGTGTGTGTGTGTGTGTGTGTGTGTGTGTGTGTGTGTGTGTATGTGTGTGAGTTTATAACTGTACACCTCTGTTCACCCAGCAGCGATTGGGTACCTGGTTGTTAAACGATTGGCGGATCGTGTTCTAGGGGAAACTATAGTGGATATAAGGCTTACCATGAGCTATGGGAAGGGAAAGCTCTCAGCCTGCTAACAGGAGTCAGCAGTCGTCTGCTCCTGTACCCACCTGTGTGTAAAACTAGTAGGGTAAGGCTTACCATGAGCTATGGGAAGGGAAAGCTCTCAGCATGCTAACAGGAGTCAGCAGTCGTCTGTTCCTGTACCCACCTGTGTGTAAAACTAGTAGGGTAAGGCTTAGCATGAGCTATGGGAAGGGAAAGCTCTCAGCCTGCT